AAAAAAACCCCTCTCACTCTCTCTCTCACTCTCTCTCTCTCTCTCTCTCTCTCTTTCTCTCTCTGCACCTGACTGGAAGTAGTGATGAGTAAAACTCTCTGTACCACGTGATGCTATGTGCATGTGCTGAGTCTGAGACAGGCCGTAGGCTGTGCATGTCTGTGTGTGTCAGCAAAGTGAAGGTGGAGCGGGGGGAGGGTGTGACTGTGGCCTGCTGGACCATAGTAAGTGAACAGAATGTAGGACAGGGACTTCCACTAGCTAACCTATCCTGGCTGCAGCCGAGGTTGGGCGTGCTGAATTTCTGCATGCATGATCAATGGCACTGAATAAAAAAAAGAGAGACACAGTCGAGGAAGAGAGTGGTGTGGGGGAAGGGCTGGAAGTTGGAAACGTGAATGGGATTCGGAGGAAAAACAGTTGGGTTAACTTTTCAATTTTTAACTAAGTCTCTGCAATAAAATCGAGTAATTTAAAACATACTCCTGATTTTTATATACGTTTTACAATACACATGCCAGCATTTCTAAAACTTTAGAATTCTGGGAAAGTTTGCTCAAAAGGAACGTTGAAACACATACATGTATGTGTGTGAGAGAGAGTGTGTGTAGGTGTGTGAATACAGGGCCCTGTGTGTGACAGTGGTTTTGAGTGCAGCTCTTTTCGTGCCAGATTTTGCTCCATTTTTCTCGGTCTCTGTTCCTCTGTCTTCTTGTCACTTTGTCACCTTAAAAGACTCTGATAGTTTGTATAAACCAGCTCTTCACTGCTTTTGTTTCCTTGACCACCGCTGACCCAGAGTGGGAACCTATTGTCCACGAGTGACCTTTGACCCACCAGGGCCTGGGACCTGCTCTCTTACTCCCTCAGGGCAGTTGAAAGAGAACAGGACTGGTTGAAAAATAAAGAGTAAAAACAAAGACATCTCTGAATTTCCACTTAAACTCTTCAGTTGCAACAGAATTTTTTTTCTTTTTTTTTTGTTAGTCAGACACAGTCATTTGCATGTGATGCAAAATACTTCAGGCAATGAGCACTTCTTTTACAACTCCACTGAGGTGAAACCAGTCGATATATGAAGGTGACAAATAGAATAAAATATGTGTTTGATGGACAGAAGTACAAACAGAATGACGAAAGAAAATGTCTCAAAGATGACACCAAAAGTCCACTTTAAACAACTCCATTTGCTGTGGGTGTTTTCTTGCACCTGGCAGGTGGCGAGCTAAAGAAATCATTACATGAGACTGAAGAAGGGAGGAAACAGGCACACCTGTGGTTGGAGCCAGGAGCCCCACCTCCATTCTCCGATCACAATCCCTATGTCCCGCAGGGAAAGGTGTGGCAGAGGGAGAGAGAGACAAAGGGAGGAGTGAAAGAGAGAGGAAGGAAGAGATTGTCAGGGAGATTTACTAGCCTCCACAGCAGTTGACTGAGGGTTGAGTTAACCTTTTATTAATCATACAGTAGTGCAAAAACGCTTCCAAAAGTGACTGTGGGCTTCCTGTGAACGCAAACAAACCAGAGACCTTCTCCCTAAATGACACTGGATTATTGTTCCATGTCTGCCTGTCTGTCTGCCTGTCTGTCACCTGTCTGTATCTGCACACAGCTGGTTCGGCAGACAAACTTAAGGAATCACACACACAGACACAGAAGCAGTTTAAAGGCTAGTGGTTACATATCAGCAGAGAGCTAACACTTAAAGACAGATTGTCAATAGCGCACTTGCCTCCTTGGAAATTGCTATGGCAGTGGCAGTGTGTAAAAGGGCCGTCTATCCATCACTGCTGCGATGGAGCACATTATTAACTCTCCTATAAGTTACTGTGTCTTATCTGCTGTCACATCACCAAAGCCTGACATGCTTCTAAATTATGTGTTGCATCCTTTCAACTCAAAATGAGACATTCATTCAAAAGTGACACATGCAACACTCACTACTCTAGAAATCATATGCAAACAAATAAAGCTCAAAAATACATACAAATATATACTTCCTCTGCTTTTTTTGTTCTGTTTTTAGGAATATTAAAGGCACATTTTGTAGGATTTTGCAACACATTGTGTCTTAATAGCCATCAACTCACCAAATATTTTCAAGCATGTACTGTAGAATAACAGCATGCTTAAACACTAAGCATGGTGACTCAATATGGTAGGCATGATGAAAGTAACTTTCTCCAGATTCAATTATGCATTCTGGTTATAATGATAACCAGAATAATATAATATATTTTAAAATAAATACTGCTTCAAACACAGTGTATCTTTGAAAGACAATGCTTCTACTGTTATACCTATAAGTGTACATTCCCCGTTCAAAGTCAGACGTAATGGCAAATAGATTTCCACATCTAAAATTATATTTATTTATATTTAGAACCAACAGTTCCTATATACGCTTGAAACTTGACCTCCAGTCTCACTTCTCTCAGAAAGTGATTGCTGGAAATGACATCATGACAGCTACAGATGGAGTCATGGCCGTCTATGAAGCCATCCAGGGCTGTGTGGTGACTCATCATCTCTTTGTCGGAAGACATGCTGCTGCGGGTAATGTTTAATGTTAACGCGTGATGGATTTCACACCAAGGGCCTCCGAGGGGGACAGCAGAGAAAGTGAGGAGGAAAGAGAAGAAAGGAGGAGTGAGAATGGAAAAGAAAAAGGGAGAGACACTGAGGTAGAATGGGTGTATGTAGGGCACAGAGAGGAAAGATGGATGGCGATATATGTGAGAAGGAGCCATACTACCTCTCTACCAGGTACTTCACAGCCACACATGTAAACACATGAATAAGTGGAGTTGTAGTGCATCCATATATCTCCTTTAATCTCTTTTCCACCCCCACCCCCACTCTCCCTCCACTTCTCTTTACCGGACCTATCAACGCCATTCCTTGCAGCTATTTTTAGGCGACCACTGTCCCCTTATCCCCCCTGACTCAGACAAGATCACAGTGTGTGTGTGTGTGTGTGTGTGTGTGTGAGTGGGTGTGTGTGAGAGAGAGAGTTTCACAGGGAACTTCAGTAGAGCAGAGCTGCTAATTCTTAATCTCAGTGTTGTTTGATTCATTGAACAGGGCCTTTAGGAAATCCAGTTACAAAAATAGTTGTGAGTGTGTGTAACTGGGGGAGGTGAAGGAGGAGGATTCGTCCCACCTGCCCAGTGGTTTCCGGTGCATGTGTTTTGATCCACAACTGACTTGGTGAAAAGTATTCCATGAAGGTCTGGGAACACACAAATCATCCCTGGAAAGTTGGAAACAGAGTTATTTATTGCTTGCAATGTGTCCGTGCACGTGCATGCTAATTGTAGACACTAAACCCAGTTATGTTGGGATTGTCGTTGTAGCAGCATGTGCTGAGTGCAGTAGAGTAACGCTCAGCTTTGCGTGCCACAGTGTGCAGGCGCCTGGCCTGATGGACAGCCCTGGTTATTGATTCATACACACACACAGTTTGATTGGACTCTGCTTTGTGGTCCAGCCTGAGTGTGAACATTCTGTTGTCACACTTTATACTACTATACTTTATAGAGCAAAAATGTAAGCCCTTAAGGTCACCAAGTGTCCAAACACTGTAAAACGATTCAGGAGGCGTTAATGAGATTCATGAGAAATCTCTGTTCAAGGCTGGAAACCTATGCTGAATGTGTGCGAACTTTTGCATTGTAAACCAGCATCCTACTATAACAGACACAGATAAATGGTATGGCACTATTTAAAAAAAAATACTGTCATGTAACCCTCTTTCCTCACAAATATCAAAGCATAGACTTTTAGATATAGTATGCAGTCCAGATTAGCATCTAATTCAAATGATTGAATCATGCAATAGTAACCACAGGGTGTTATTAATATAACACCATGTGATAAACCGTGATGTGTGTCTTGGTTTTTGGTGTATGGTACTGGAGATATTAGCATAATTATGAAATATCTGTAAGAATCGTTATGGGTTTTTCCTCCGATAATAAAAACCTGATAACGCAGTGCCTTGGTATCAACAAATGACGTGTGCCCTAAAAATCTTTTTGGGGATAAACGGCTGTATATTAAAGTGTAAGTCACTGGTAGCATTGCAGTTCATTTAATTAATTTATTTCAATTATCAGGATTGTATGTAGAATGCTGGTGTCAGCAACGCATGCAGTGGTTTTTACAGATAAATAAATACATATTACCAGGCCTATATCGGTATTGGTTGATATCGGTATCGGAAAAAGATATTATCTGACATCCAAAACCCAGAGTCCAGAAATTCCAGGTCGAATTGCATCAGTAACGACATCCATTTCTTGTCATTATACCCCATCAATAAAAGCTACAGTCCAAATAAATCTCATACTTTAAATTACCTTTAAAATATATTAGATTTTATCAGTGAATTTATTTGTATTGTACACATTTTACTCTATGCAGTATGTGACTTCTCCCAGACACAAACTAATCTTTCCACTTTCTGTAGATTTGGCTGCTTTATAAAAGAAGTGTGGAACTTCAGCCTCTGTCTTGTTTACATGGCCTCTCTGTCACAGCTGCAAAAACCAAGATTCACATTGACTCTTAAAGAGCCACAACAGGCACCCAGCAGTCTGTGCACAGACTTATTGTCAAACAGCACAAACATGATGGATGGACTTCAGTAAAACAACAAGTTTAAAGTGATTAAGTCAACGCCGTATCACATTAGATTTGGGCTTCATTATGGTGCGGAGAAATTGATTTGTTTAATCTCATAAATCAAACCCTACTACAAATAAATATGCAATCATAGAAAGACATTTCACCAGGAAACACATTTGCATTAGTAGAGTTTAAAGAAAAAAGACACTGAAAAAGTAGGTAAACAGGACACTGTGCTGAACAAGTTAGGGGCTGTATGTATTCTTTTGTACTTGGCTGAACTGTATGTTTCTGTGCATGTGTGTTCAGCTGTGCAGCAACAGAGTGCAGGGAGGAGAGAGCAGAGGGGATCCATTGTGGGTCTTTGTGTGCCTCAGATTGTCCTCTTCTCTGGGAAAGTGGAAACTCAACACTCCTCTCTAGAGGTCTGGTTACCAGGTGAGAGAGGAGGAAAGAATAGGGAAAAACAGAGCGGGAGAGCAAGTTGCATAGGTGTGGAGAGAAAAAACAGAAAAGGAAAGGTGAGAGAGAAAAGAGCATGTGAGTGTTTGGGCATGAGAGCTGGAAAGAGAGATGGAAATCGAGAGAGAGAGAGCAAAAGAGAGAGAGAGAGAGAGAAAGACAGAGATGAACACAATGATAGGAGAAAACAGCCTGAGAAAGAATAAACAGAAAGACTCTCAGTTTTGGGTTTAAATCCCCCTGGAATTGGGGTGGGGAAAAAACGGACGATCAAAGTGTGACAATCCCGATCTTTTTCAATGCTCACTTGTCATTTTTAGTCAGGATGTGAATTAATAATGTGGAATAAATGTCTTATTTATTAGTGTAGAGTTGTTGCTGCAGGAAAGTAAGACAAATCAGAGCCTGCCCTCGTTTAAAGTCATTCAACTTTGCTTGAAGCAAACACCAATGACAACGTTGTCAGCGCAATAATAAAACATACAGCTGTGATTTTCTTTTTCCCCCACAAACAAATATGAGACTGAGGTGAAACCACTGGGAGTCTACGGGGCTGAGTTATAGTATAACTCCTCCTAGTGGACACTGCTGGGACTTGGCTTCTCCAACTTTAAATAAACTTTCTTCAACTTTTGTTATCTACTTAAAAAAAGAAGCAAAATACGCAGCATATCAAAAATGTACATTTATCTCTTTACTCTTTACATATTTATAGTTGTTTTTTTTGTTTTTTTTGGTCTTTACATAAACAATTTGTTCAACCCTGAACACCGGAAGTTAACAAGGTACAAAAAGTAGGTGCACTATCTCGACAGATACCACCCAAAAAACCACGCAGTTCTAACTTGATTTGGGTATTTTCAGATAAACACAATAAACTGATTTTTTTCTTCAACACAGGTTATTAAAATAAGATGTTTAATAAGAATATTGCCTGAAATCTTTGTCCATCACTATAGCTTGGAAAAAGTAGACTGTACAATTTTCTTTTTAAAAATCTCTTATGTCATCACATGAACCACGATAATTAAATAACACAGACTTTCACTAGGTTAACTCAACTGTCGGTAAGAGTTATTTAATCAAAACGGAACAATAAAATATAATGCAGTTAGTTGGTCCCTGATCTTTTAAATGAAAAAAACGAAAAATAGAAAGCTGAGAGATAAAGAATACATCATCTCTATTAGACTAATAATAATAATGTTTCGTCTATATATGTGTGTGTGTTTGTGTTAGTTGGAGGACAGCATCACTGGAGTGACCATGTGTGTTTGACAGGAATGTTCTATGGACGGCTTCTGTTTGCCTCCCCCTTTATATAATTTGGAGTGGACTGCGGCGTCCACAGCTCTGAGAACAGCTGTTTCTGACAAACACAGCAGAAACACAGCAGTGTTTGTGTCACTTAGGGGATTACTGTAGGTGAGAAGGAGCATATGTGTCTGTGCCTGTCGGTCTGAAGAGGGTGGAGGATGGTTTTTAATTCGCTCTGAGTTTAATGAGCATCCCTCTATTAAATATCTGGTCTTTCTTCTCTACAGTCGCCTGTCTATGAGAATGATGACCTCTGAAGTGTAATCTGAAAAAAACTCGCAATAAAATTTCTCACTATGATCCTTTCTGTACAAACTGATATTATAATTCTTGAATACGACACACTGTACATCCCCTGAATTAATTAACAGCAATGACAAACAACAAGTCATTTTTTACAAACACAAACATGAGGTGCGTGCATGTGTGTGTGTGTGCAGGTACTATACGACATCATGAAATGTTTGAATGCGTCGCGTGTGTGAATACAAACCACATTTACGGAAAAGACAGCAAATTTCAAAAAAGGCATTGAAAGCTTACGTCTCCAGTTTTTTACTTGAACTGATCATTTATCTTTTACTGCATTCTAAAATGTATACAAACTTTTTCTGTCAATGTGGTTTGTAGCTGTATTGATTGTAGTGTAATCTGTACAGGTACCAGTGTGCATCCATCGTGCACATATTGGTGTGTGGCCTCAGGTTTGCACGCTCGCAGGCAGACATCACTGTCCTCCATTGTAGGCATAGTCCGCCTTGTTGTGCATGACTAGTCTGTTCTCCACAAAGTAGAAGCTGTCTGACCGGGTCTCATAAGGACACTCCACCATCTGACGGACTGCAAGACACATGACAGGTCATGAAATCAGGCATCATAATGTGACATTTATAAATATACTCACAAAAACAGTATATATATTTTTTAGCCTGTGAGAAAAGTAGAGCGGTGAATTGGTCTGGAGGACATATTTTGTCTATGAGCCAGTATATGTGCAATGACAGATGAAGCTTCCTCTAAATAATCTCAACTCAAACTCATTAACTTGAAAAAATATTGTACATCTGGGAGCACTTCTGTAACCTATTTTTGTTCATTTCCTAAAAGAATGATGCCTCATTGAAAATAAAAAAACGTTAACAAAGATACTGTAGTTTGATTAAAGTAAACTTAAAAGTCCTTCATTTTCTTTTCCCTGTGAGATGCAAGACAACAGCCTTATAGAGATTCTTGGTTAATAACCAGCCCAGAAACAAAACAGTTACTAGAATGTAACCTGGAGTTTATATAGTAAATATCTCCACTGTGACAAAGGCTTAAGAAGGAAACACTGTTGTGTAAATATCAAGTGAAAGTACTGTTGATCTCCTGTGGAATTCCCCCTGTATAATGGTACAGTAAAAAAAAACACCTCATATTCTTTACGCAGAGAATCATGTTATACTAAAATAAATGAGTTAAATTATTTCATTTAAACACATGACACAGGCATTGGTGTTTGTGTTCTAGCAAAGTGGTTGTGAAAAAATAACTCACCAAGGCTGTCCGACAGCTGGGGGAACTCGTAGATGTGCTCACAGGTGTTGCGACTGTTTGGGATACAGAAGCCGAAGTCGAAGTCAAAGCTCTTCAGCAGGTGATCGCGGAAGTAGTGTCTCTCGATCATGCGGAAGTTATTCAGAGGCCTGTTTCCAACAGTGAATTCCACCCTGATTGAGCAACACCGAGAGAGAGACGTCAGAACAAGTCTATTGTAATCATAATGTTATAGTTGAGTTGGCGTGAATGCACTGCAGATCAAAATGAGTATGTGAAGCACACAAAAGATAAGGCTGCAGTTGTCTTCTGTTGTTTGTTTATGGAACAAGTGAGTACGTTTCCCCGAGCTCTGTGTTGGTGACAGAGTGAGTGTGAGTCACTCACGTAGCTCCCACGGTCCTCAGGCGCAGGAAGGCTGGGGTGAACTGGTATCGTACAAACCGTCCTGCGCTGGCGTCCGCCTCCCTATTCTCCTCATCGTCCTCTGAGGGCCACAACAGAGGAACAAGTCAATTTACACCGACTGTTACCTAAATCAAGTCCAATTTATTTTCAGAGTAACTTTAAGACAACAGGATTGAACCAAAAACATGTAGTAGAATAACAAAATACGTAAAAGAAATATGACGCATCACAGACAAGTAAACAGACAGAAAGAAAGAGAAGAAAGATGGAGAAATAAATACACACTTTACCATGAAGGAACTGGGTTTTAATATTAAATATAATTTATATTATATTTAATATTTAAACCCAGCACCAACCCGTGGATCTGTTTTCCACACATTTTACTAGTGGGGAAACACATCCAGGAGGTGGCAGTATGGAGACTCCAAGGTTGCAGATTTCCCATCAAAACCCAGAGAATAAGCATAATAGCATTTAAATTCTGTAGCACTTGATGAGTTGATGGAGTTAGAACAGCGTGGCTTTAATATGTTTCAGCCTGCCTGTTAAATGTAGAGTTGATTATCAGCATGCTCAAAAAAATGGCCTATAAAATAGACTGCATTCTAATATTTTCTTATCTTTATACATTATAAAGGTACAACATTCAGCTTATTGCCATCCAAACATCCAACTGACATTGAGGCGTCCTTCTACAAGACACACTGACAGACAGACAGAATATTGGTACATTATAGTAAAATGTAAATAAACCTGACAATCATCAGCATATCAGTGAAATAAAATTAAATGTTTTCAATAGAAAACAGGTCGCAGCCAATCCCTGTACTGATCAGGTGAAGGCATTGGGGTAAAACCTGGTCTGTCAGCTAGTCCATCACTGATTTCATTTAAACGTAGACCAATGAAATTGTTTTTAAATGTGAGTTTAAGAACAAAGGCTGTAAGAACAAAGGCTGAGTAAATACAGCACATTAAAACAAGGGCGAGGTTGATAAGATCTACCTGCATGGGGGGGCTTGGCAATCTCAAAAAGGACGGTGCCTGTCTCCAGGTCTCTGATCTTGAAGCGCACAAAGTCAATGTTATAAATGTTTTCCTCGGGTTTACAGAGGTATCCTGCAGTGATGACAGGCAGAAAACAGCAGATAGAAACAGTGAAGAGATTTCCACTCCGGTTGTGCACAAAGGTTTGCATATAAAACAAGACTTTAATAATTAAATGAGTCTCTGCATCCCCATCATAACTTCTGTGCTCTAATTTACACAGCAAATAACAGTGTATTGTTTGAGTGTAACATATTAACTAAATGTACATGCGATTTACCTACAAAAATATCTTTCTAAATGTATGTAAAATAATGGAGAAAATCTGTCCTCTCAAAATGTTTAAAGGTTTGCATAACCTGTGGAGGCTCTGTGAAGTTTCAGGGATGCATTTCAGCTACATTAGGATTACTGTGTAACAACTTGGTGACATGAATCCTCTGTTTTTTCTTTTAAAGTAATGTTTATTTTTCATGACTTCATAAATCTGATTTTTTTTTAGTTGAGTGACAGATCGATATTCCTTCAAATCAAGAGGTTGATGGCTGCATCGTGACCTAACGCACAGCATCATCAGGCTCCTATTGGATAAACGAGCTGTCAGCCACACCTGGTGTTTAATCACAGTCAACATTGCATCAATCTTCTGTGTAAACAAGATCATATTATTAAAAATAGACATTAAGTCATTTAGAAGAAAAGACCCAGGATGACCGTTAAAGCGATGGGATTGTCAGGAAAATATCTCAGATGCTACAAATTGAAAAAAGAGCAGCCTTTAGGTTAGGGGTGCAACTATTGTCTTTAATGTGGGGTTCAGTGACATGAAACCCTGCATGAGGATAAAACAACAATGTTTTCTCTTAATATTAATACTAGATTTTATTTCATAGGTGCCTTTCTTGTAAGTAAATGTAGTCCTTGGCCCTGGCCTTCAGTACAGCATCATCAGAGCACAGCGAAGCTGTTAACATGTCCTGTCGTATGCATGATTCTTTAATGTCCTCCACAGATCATGTTTGTGTGTTTGTGGCACATCAGCTGTACTAAATATAACCTGTCATACATAATTATTAACCGGACTCGTCATCTACTCGGCTCTTACGTAATGCGCATAATCTAATCTGTTAGGAACATGTACATACATGCATAATCAAACAGATTAACATCATCATCATCATCCCCATCATCATCATTATGATCAAAAACAACATCAAACCTCGCGTTGCCACCCTCAGTCCCAGCACGTCCTCCGGTGTGATGTGGTCACTCTGGGTCCGCAGTTCCTCCTCGGTAACAGGCCTGCTGTCTACCTGGCTCCTCCGGGACTTAAGCCGCTTCAAGACACCTCCGCCAGGCTTGCGGTCCCGGGCAGCAGCCGCAGTGCTGTGGCCGCCTCCGCCGCTGCCAGAGACATCCTCGGCAACCGGAGCGTCGCTGCGCGCTTCGGCTCCGCTCATCGCTAAGACTCTCTCTCTGGCTGAAGGTCGGAGGTCTGACCCCCCCTTCCCCACTCACCTCGGTCAAACGTTGCAGAAAGATGGCGTCGTAGATGTAGAGTGTGGAGATAAGTGTCGGCGAAACAGTGAAGCTCTAGTTTTTGTAAACACATGCTGCACAGTTACCATGACAACTACGTGCGCCAGAGGAGAGGCTCCTGAAGATGTTTTCCTTAAACGGCCAGCAGAGGGAGACACAAAAACCTCTGTACTACTGACATGGATTGAAAAACGATCGCAGTTTCATCTGTTATACTTGTTCAATCGCTTTTAATGTTTTATTAATCTTTTTTTTAAATATGACCTTAAATGTGACATGGTTTATGTATATTTCTATTTATACATTGTATATATCATTGGTTATTATTAACTATTATAAACTATTCATTCCCAATAAAATATACATTCATGTGCAGTTTATATTGTTTTATTTATTGTTTTAGCTATAGTCTAATCTGGTTTATTTATTGTTGTAGTCCTGTGTCTGTCTAATAATACCCGGGCACTTGAAAAACGCAATTTCGGACAATTCCATGATAGTAGTTTTGGCCGGACAATAAACGATCAAACGATCTGATATGAGGTAGCCTATATACAAACAGACTCGACACAGTAAAACTGCATGTTTATTCGACTGGTGCACGATTCTTCCTGCTGTGAAGACGTTGCCTCAGGTAACGTCAGCACTCTCTACAATGCAGGGAGAGCCGCGCGGATTCAATTCCTTTTCGCTCTGGGTAAAGCGGCTTCAGTCAGAACCTGTTGATCCGGTCAATACAATAGCACACTGTAATAAATTCACAGTGTGTTTACAAACTGCTTCTGATTTTAGATTTTCAAAATAAATTTCCCACGTTTGTTTAAATTCGGCTTCAAAATTAATGTGCATTTTAGTCTTGTAGTGATGCCTTGACTGAATTTGTATCATCAGTGAAGTACACTGTGTGACAGACGGGTTCAGGGTGGTGGTGGGGCTAGGAGGCCACTTTTTATTTTTAATGGCAGTGGACAGACAAATAGTTGTGTTATGAACAAGAAAAAAGAAAGATATATACTTGACTTAATTATGTGATATTAAGTAAAAACAAGGCATGTACAACAAAGGAAAGAAATGATACACATGGATATTTGTCTATTTTAAAATAGACACTGAAAATAAATGTGCTTTTCAAACGTTTTTGATCACAGATGCCAAAATCCAAAATCTGATGTTTCATAATAAAAGTAACAAGAAATAAGCTTTTAAATAAGTGCAAATGTTTAAAAATAAGTGAATGAAACTAAGCTTATAAACAACAAACATTTCACCAGACAAATGTCCTACAAACACTTGTAAGAGTAAATATTTGTCATAGAACAAACATGGCTAAACGTCGGCCCAATCTTTGCTTTTATTTTGAAGTGCACGCACCCCTATATTCCGGTGTCTCTGTGTGCGTATCCATGGGTAACTTGACGCCCTGGCGGCGTGGGGCAGACCTGAGGGAGTGTCTGCTGGGTGTAGGAGTGGGAGCGGCTTGACGTCTTGTTGTTAGTGTGAATGAGTTTTTAAAAAAAAAGAAAGAAAGAAAAGAGCTTCTCTCTGTCTCTGACAACAGCTCAGCAGGAGACACAGCCGCGGAAAAGAGGGGAAACTGTTTTCTTTTCTAAATTTCACCCGCTTTCTTCCTCGACCTTTATGACTGCGTGAGGACTAAAGGTAAGGGAAAATAACAATAACCCAAACTTTGGCATGTGTTGAACAGTGTAACTGATGGGAATCTGTAGGACAGGTGCACGATTGATATGAGGCAAAACGCGTATCCACCTACTGTGTAAATTTACACAAGACTAAATGTAAAAATGAGGGTTATTCCGCCGCAGCTTCTTGAGGACGCGCTGCTGGTTCAACGGCAGTGAGTTCGTTGTTTATTTGTTACTCATTAACGACTTGTGATCAAACATATGTGCAGATGTTTTTTGAATGTGAACGCCATTTCCTTTATTCGGTGCACACATAAACTTAATGTTTGTCCACGGTTGGAGACCTAACTTTGCTCAGAGTGTCACTCAGAGGAGGAAATTAATAATACAGGACAGACCCGGTGTAAGGCTGGCCTTGGCAGGTTAACAGGCTCTGAGGGCAAACATAGATAAAGTGGAGCTACAAGCTGCTGCAGAGACCTGCTGCACTCTGTGGTGAATGTGGCTCTTTTTTTTCCCTTCTTCTTCAACAGCAGCTTTTTTTCTTCCTGACAGTGTTTGTTTCAAAGGAATTCAGCCATATAAAGAGAGGGAGCAGTGGGGAAACAATCACAAAGAGGACACTCTTAACTCCAACAGTTAAAATGGAGTTTAGGGATTAAGGATAAATGGTCATGGGTGTCTTTTAAAATCATTCAAAAGTGATGCATGCCCCTTGTTAATAAACCATCGTCCCAGTGTGGGTGCTCCACTCAGTGCTCTACTGAGATTGCTCCCGCTTCAGACAGATCACTTCCTGTCCAGCCTTGTAGCCTGTTTGGTACAGTCATGAACTGTTTTCTACTTTCAACCTGGTCAACCCGGTTGTTTCCAATTTTTTTCAAATCCTGACATTTCGGGCAATGCAATGGTTATTTGCGTTAAGACTCAGGAAGCGAGGCTTAAATGTTGTCTACAGGTGACTTTTAATTCTTTTTAAGAATCTCTCTGTTGCCAAAATGAAACGGCGATAGCTTGCTTCCTCGTTTTCTGGCTTGTTAATTAGTTACATCCAAGAAGGCATTGTTAAATCCGGAAGAAATCAACCAAAAAAACAAACAACAAAAACAGCAGTGTGACAGTGTTTATAGTTATTTTATTTTTAATTTCTATCAACCAGATGCTAAGAGATTATTTAGACCGATTGTTTATCTGATTTTCAAATTAGCCTTTTGTCAACTGCAATACTGCTTTCTGTATATTGTACTGTCTCATCATCATAATAAAACTGCATCGTTTTAGAGTCCATAGTATGGACATTGAAATGAGACGTAGAACATCACTGAGCTGAAGGTCGAAACGTGTGACTCACATAGTTTGTTTATCTGCGTAATCAATTAAGGTCAATGCTAAAAGGTTGAACTGAGCTTTGGTGTTTTCCCTATTTTAGTGAACGATAACACATGTTTTGTTTTTTTTGGTACCCAGATTACCAGTGGAGGCAGATTTATGTCCACTGATAGACTGGTGCTGGAGAACTATAACCCTCAGCTTCATAACCTGGGTGTGTTAGTCTGACCCAGTAGTTTACCCACATATTATAGACAAGTCTACACACCCTTCAGTGGAATCGTGAGTAGATCAGTAAACTACGCTGGACCGGTGTCATTTGGCAGAAGGCCCATCAAAACTTAAAACATGAGACCAGCAGCTGTAAGATGAATTATAACAGAAAATAAATAAATAAAATCGTAATGATCTACACATATGACAATGACCAGTTATTTACTGTTGTGTCCTCTTGGAGTGACTGAGTTGCTACGTCCTTAGGAAACAATAATAACGTATAAAAAGATCACTTCCCTCTTTCATTTTCTACTCACGATAAGAAGGTTAGAAGAATAAAGACGTTGTGAAATCTTAAAACACCACTCAAGATGACTGTGGGTGTCAAGGCAGGGTGATATGACAACCTCATTTTAGCAAGACAGACTTCCTGTGGTGTTGTTTTTCCACTTTTGACTTTAACCTTTGAATTGTTGTTTCAAAAATGAAAGTGCAACCAATTAAATGTGCTTTATCATTCAACAGTAACAACTAATCTGAACTCTGGGGGGGGGGGGGGGGGGGGGGGGGGGGTCAAGAGGCGTGAGTCCACAGGTTAAGCATTAAACACCAACTTAACCAATTTAACCTTTGGCCACTTATTTTGTACTTTTTCCTTCGCTTGCAATTTGGATGAAGACACTGTGAGTTATTTTGTGTAACAAAGAAAAAACATTGACATATCATCTTTACGTTCATTCACACATGCACAGAGATTGCAACATTGGATTGTCTCGGTCTGACTTGTTCAAAACAGCCGTGACCACAGAGCAGGCAGAAGAGCAGATTTTTTTTAAATAGATCCAAAGAAAAATTGGCTGCTTTGCTTCCCTAAGCCGCCCCCTAACCTCACTGAGTGGTGTTGGACGGCCTCTTCAGCCCATTTTAAACCCATTACACAATATAACACAAAAGCCAGTGGTGATATATGTTTGAGCAACGAGTCCAAAGAGAGGCCAATAACAACACATGCCACATGTTAAAACTGTCTTGGTCTATACACACACACACTCACACTCACACACACACACATACACTCTGACTGCGCATCACATTGTTTATGCACAGCAGCTGTGCAGTGGTACTGCAAGAATGGGCAGGGAGCAAAATGCTGACACAATGAGTGTTGCACACTATTACATCTCAGGGCGTGGAGTTACTGGTTTGAACTAAAGTCTTACAGGTCAAACCAGATGACTTGTGACTGCAGTTCCTGTAGTATTCAGTGTCACACTGTGTTACTGTTCACATTTCCCACATTGCAGGGATGAATTTGGGCTTGTTCTAGGGAAGGTTCTCTTCCCTTGTCGCTCAGTTGAACTCAATTGTCCAGCAGTGATTGTCTTCACTTTATGTCAGGATAAGTCGGTGTAATTCACGTCAGAGTGAACTGTAGATGTTCATCATTTACGTGTGTTCTTCCTGGTCTTTGCGCAGTTAATCACTAAGCAGGGCCGCTAATGTGCATTGTTCTTCAGACCTCAGCTGGCATTAAAAAAAGTAACTCATCTTTAAATTAGCATCCTTCTCTGCATGAATGAAGGCTCCCTTAGACTGTCATGAGAATTAGAAAGAGAATTGAAAAATGTCTTGTGGTCAGAAAGTTATATATATAGTGCAAACTTCTGGCCCAGGGACCACATCCAGGTCATGGCCGCCCCAACATCTGGCCTGTGACTAAATGTCAATAATTATTCAGTATTGCCTTTGAGGTTATTTTTATTTTATTTTTTTTAATTTTAATTTTCATTCTTTCTGGTTTATTTAAGAAAAAGACAAAACAGATTTGTACCAGTTGTTTAAACTGTTTGCACTGATGGGGCCCTCGAATGATAAAACGGCAGCAGCAGTGGCTCCCCCTGGCTGAGTTTGAGAACCCTGCTTTAAAAACAGTGATTTGACATTCAAGCTTACACATGAAGTTTAATTATGCAGAGCAGCAATGTCCCAGTTGTCATAAACCAATTATTGCTGCTCAGGGAGTGAGAGTTTCTGCTGCACTTTCAAAGTAATTGATCGTTTTTTCTTCACTCCTGCAGGTGTAATGTGCTTCTTAAAAAAATCCAGACAGACCAGACTAATCAGCTTCCCTTAGTAACTAGGTCAACTTTGTCTCAGCTGCAAATGGTGATGTCTTTCAATGCAAACAATATATAAATAACTGTTTGTCTCCCTGGTTCTTATCCTCAGAAACTCAGTTATGGAGACCTCCATTGAAACTGGACGCCCTGTAAATCCCAAGCCGCCTCTGGCACCAAAACCTCGGATCACTCCCAAGCCTTTCTCCCTCCAAAAGAACACCACTATCCGCTCCATCCATGCTCCGACGTCAGTCAGCACAACTCCGAAGCCACCAGTGAAGCAGCCTGCAAAGCCAGAAGCCCCTGGTGTTCCTAAATCGACTGCATCCACCCAGGTTCAAAAACCTCCTCCCAAAACCACTACCCCTGCTCCCAAACCAATTCCTGGAGGTGAACCTGCCAAGAATAAAACAAAACCTACAAAAGAAAATAAAGCAGGTCCAAAAGACAAAGACACTCCTGAATCAAACGTCACACCTGGAAAATCTGATCCTGTCTCACAGAACGTTCCGGTAAGGGAGACACCAAAACCTGATTCACTGCAGAAAGACCAAGTCGTCCAAACAAATCACAAAGAATCCACAAGTTCTGTTTCTGTCTCAGAACAAACAGAGGACAAAAAGAAAGAAAATGGAACTCAGAGTTCTGTCACAGAAAAGACTGAAGATTCAGGAAGTGACGGCTCCTCATCTAAGAACATATTTCGATGGGGGGGCACCAGGAAGAGCCTGTCTACGCAGCTTACCTCAAAGTTTGAGTCAGGTGGCCCTCTCCTGCCCGTGCAGCCCACCAAACCTGTGTCCACTAACAATGCTAAAGAGGACGCCACCAAGGCAGAGTCCTGTAATGTAGAACAGAGCCAGGTGACACCAACAGAACCATCAAACCGAGAGAGTGATGAGGGGGGCCTGCAGGAGGACTACACGGGAGGAGGGAGTATCAAACGGAGAATCAGTCTCCTCTTTGACTCTTCATCCAGGCCAGAGGTCATGACAAAAAAAGACGAACCAGAAATTACCAACGTTGGAGGAGGTGTGAAGGAGAGAATTAAACACTGGGCATTGGAAACAAACACTGAGGATCTGAAGACTGAGAGGAAGCCTCAAGTTGCACCACGACCTCGTTCCAAGAGGTGAGTGAGCTTTTTTTTTTTTTTTTGGCCAGTTTGTGTTTAAGGACACGACTAGACTTGAATAAAAACAGAAGAACGTTCTACTGAAAATGAGAAGGGGGGAAAATAAAACAAGTTTATTTCATGGTTAGTGGCTCACATCTTTTCAGGTCAGTATTGCGTTTCGGCTGTACACATGTATTACCCCTCATAGCATTATTTCCTTTTTCCTCCTCAGACCGCTACGTTATGTTTAAAGCTAGGGTTTATATGTAAACACATTTCACTTTTGTTTGGGTTCTTTGGAGAGAGAAGCGAGGGCAGTGCTAGTCTAGAACTGCAGTGGGAAACTTTGACTGCCACTGTTGCCTGATGTGTGCACCAACAAGGGCGTGGTGAACAGAAAATGTTGTACTCTATTATCCAGATAAGAGACAGATCCATTACTTCAAATGACTACAATCAGTTACAAACCTCAACTCAGATAAACAATCTTAGGGTTTTAGATGTTTACGTTGCTACAAGACTTCACAGGTTTCACATCAAATTCACACTGTTAATATTCAGAATAGTTGTGAATATATACACACAAAAGCCCTGGTGGGCAACTGAAGTACTCACACACCTAAAAGCCAAATTCTGGGCTAAATTAACCACGAAGGGACTCGAACCCTCAATCTTCTGATCCGAAGTCAGACGCCTTATCCATTAGGCCACGTGGTCTCTGTGAACATGTTGATTGCAACTGCAAAAAACAGAAATCAGTACACATCCAGCAATGCAAGAAAAAAACGGTAAGGTAAAGGTAAAGTGTTTTGACTGGCAACTTTATTTTATTTCAAATGTCTGCACATTTTTTAGATTTAAAGAAGTTAAGTTTAAGAAAATGTTGGTTATTATCTAACTGCTTACAATTCAGTCACAATCTACGGTTAAGAACATGTAGAAACATTCAGATATTTGGGGAAAAACAACTGACCGCTTAATGTGAACGAGGTTTCAACCATAAGAAAGAACTGCCCTGCTGTCACAATGGACACAGTCAAAATACGTCACTCTGTCCCTTACTGCGTAAAATCATGGAAAGAGGAAGCTACATCTTTATTTTTGCACCGGGTTTTTCTGAGGATACACTCATATGATATGGAAATGAAGACAAAGGAAATGTGTTCTGTGGTCAGAGAGCTTTTTGCTTTTTTACAAAAGGACACAAACATCTGATGTCTGTGTCCTTTTGTAAAAAAGCAAAATGCACAAAACCTAGCATCAATAGTAGTAGTATTTATATGATGGTATCCCCGTAAGGCAGAAAAAATACACGACTTCCAGATACTATGTGTATTTCCATCTGGCAGGTATTCTTCCTAAATTACCAAAGTCCATAGATATTGTGTGGGTTTGTTTGACTAACCTGATTAAAACCTGAAAAATTGTAATGCTCAAGTCTGTTAAACAGTAAGACAAAAACTCTACTTGCAAAATTGCAATATTTATTTTCATCAGTTCCTAAAAGGTGTGTTTTTGTATCGCAGATGTGAACTGCATATCTAGTAAATGTCAAAATCCAATGTGTGTTTATTGCAGCATAACTTAGCAAACAGCATGTTTTTAGAAGTTGAAATAAAATTTTATGTGCTATTACACTTATATAATTTAAAAAAAATAATTTAGGACCCAGCTTCCAGGATTATTCAATGTCAACCTTTACTAATAAACCAAATTAAACTCCAATTCTTATGTCATTTACAGCTTTGAGCCTGTGGCTCCTAAAGCAGGAGAGAAAACACACAAAACTCCTCAAGTACAACCTCCTGTTCCTGAAATACCATCTACACACGCTGGGAACGAACATCCAGACGCCTCCTCCACTGAAAACCCTGCAGAGCCTCAGTCGGAGACACCAAGAGACACTCCTGCAGGAAATGAGTCTCCGGATCTGGTCTCAGGTGGAGGACCTGGAGAGAAGGAGCTGAGCTCATCAACGGACAGTCAGGTTCAACTACGCCACCGCAGCACATCTGCACCTCAGACGACAACCGATGACGGAGGTGACAGTGGGCAGCGTCCTCTGAAGAGAGACAACGTTAAACGTCGCTCTGTTCGCTTTGGGGTGGTGGAGAGAGATGACGGAGGGCCTCCACTGATCCTGGGCTCAGCTTCAGAATCCAGTTCTGAAGAAGAAGAACAAGAGGAGGAGGAGAAATCGGAGGAGGACACCACCGCGTCTTTCCCAGTCTACAGGCGAGCAGGAAGTTTTCATCATAAGGATGAGGAAGAACAAGAACAGGAAGTGGACAGACATTTGGAATTTGAAAAAAGAAGGAGAGCAGAAGAACACGAAGAGGCCAGACTAAAGCTCGAGGAGGAGCGTAAACGCGAAAAGCAGGAAAAGGAGAGGGCAGAGCGGCAGCATGGAGAAGGAGAGAAGCGGACAGAGT